CTATATCATGGCATCTAGGTAAGTAAATGCATTGTTTTGTTATGTCCTATAGGCATGTTATCTAAGAGTGTTGGATAGTAGACATGGAAACAAATATATCATATTTGACAAATGAAGTGAAGTGTGTGCGTGATACCTATAGGCATGCTTTCTATTAGTGTACAACACATAAAATCTAATAGCGCATATGTAAAGATGAACAAAATAGCAAATCGACCATGTAGATCTTATAGGCTTGTTTTCTACCCTTTTATGCAAGCACTAGAATGTACCTGATTCCCCAATTCACTAATTCCCCAATTGTTTGTTTAGAAGTTGTTACAGGCCCAAAATAAAATAGCACAAGTTCATACATTGCACACTAAAATGACTACAAGCCCAATGCATAGAACAGGCCCAAAGAAAATTAACCCAGTAAAGCCTGGGCCTTCAGCAGGCTCATTCTTCATTAAGATAGAAGATCTAGATCCAAATACACCCCCAAACATTAGAGTGTGTCAATCACTCAACTCAAACTCACAAGGGACCCAAATTAGGCCCAAAGAGAAAACCCAGTTGCTTTGCAGATGGACAACTTAACCACACCATTTAACGAGCTACACATGGTAACCAATTAATACAGCTCTGAGGCCTACTAACAACAACTCCCACTAGGACATAGATACAGAATCAAGAAATATTGACAAGACTCACATCAGACATAGTTGCACTTACATTCTGGAAGCTAGAGTAACAGGACTGATCAAACAGGGGACTAAACATAAAACTAGGAGAACAAGCCGGACTTAATCTCCATATGACATAAAAAATAATAACGTAAGTTCATAACAAGTGAAAGAGTATAACATGCACAATATTAGTAGAGATGGAAAGTTACACCACTTAGGTTGACATGGTAAGCCCATATACATACTTAGTTTTTAGAACAACAAATTTATAGTGAAACATAAATCAAAGTTAGCCTAAAAGAGACTCAAAACTTGGAATCTAAGACATGAAGGTCTAATAAAGTCATAGTCAGAGAATGGCAATTAGACATATTAAACAAACAAGTAGGCATGGTCTACAACAGTCATCAGACGGCCTAACATGCTCAGTATAACACAAAGATTTCAAAGCCTAAAGCATTCATGGTGAATATGAAGGTCAAGTGACACTTGAGAGGGCCTGAATTCATAAAAGGCAAAGACTAGATTGTCACATAAAGAGCTAGATGTTGCATTTCATTTTATAGACTAAACGTAGTATCAGGCAACACAGGATTGATACAAACATAGAACACACATTAAGCTCATAATTGGTTGTCATCACAATTAGTAATTGGTCACATTTAAAGTATTAGAACGCATGAGTTGGTTGTCATGATAGTGCATAATAAGGCAAGAAGCCCAAACTCAGAATGAGCAACAGGTAAATATGATGATCATTTAGGTTGGACACAATTAAGGCTAGCATATTAGGCTAAGCATGACTTGCAAAGAAACAGTAGAATAGGCATGAAGGATTCAACATGAATAAAGCAATTTCGAGCAAGAATATGGTCTCACAAAGAGGTTTCAGTGTAAGAAGTCAAACAAAGTTCAATATAGCCATCAATTAGGTTTCAATTACATATCAGGCGGATATCATGAATCGACTTAGCTATACATATATGAGTTGACATCAAGACCTGCACGAAATTGGGTCTAATGGAACTATAGTATAAAGCTAAAATAAGCAGAATGGTATAATATCGAATTTAACTCAAAGAAATCCAAACAACATGAATGTGAATAACATAAGCACAAACAGAAAAGAGTAGAATTATAAAGGTACAGGACACTAACAAATTGCAAACAAACGAATAAAGATTGAGAAACTCAAAATCTAAGGAATAACAGCAATTGCAGGAGAGTGCTAAAAATCCTAGACTTCTAGTGCATCAGAGTTCACTAGAGCCTCAAAATGGACCCCGGGTAGTAGTAGTTTTTTAGTGATTAGAGTCTTTTCTAAAGGGGAAATTGGGGAGGGGTTTATATAGTGCTCAAATTAAGACGAACAAACAAGGAAATTAGTCAATTAAACCTAAATCAGGAAAGAAAATATCACATGCAATCTATAATAGAACCAGTAAAAGAAAAATCAGAATCCAAACCCTAGTTGGAATCAAACTTAGGGCAAATCGTTCTCAAGCCCCAATCACGATGGAATCAACGGAGATATACCATATACAAGAGAGATTTTCCCTTCTTTAGTGTATATAACCACAATAGCACCCAGAACCATAGAATCAAATTCGGATTTATGATTATCGGGCTTGCCATAAATGTAATGGCAACGAAAGTTACCATAAACGAGTAACAGTAGCAAGACAACAAAAACAATAACTACCTAGTAAAATTCCACATAGTGGGGTCTGGGGAGGGTAATGTGTACGCAGACCTTACCCCTGCCCCGGTAGGACAGAGAGGCTGTTTCTGATAGACCCTCGGCTCAGAACGACGGATATACAGAAAAACAAGGAAAACAAGAAAAGAAAAGAGAATTCATTAGTAACTCCAGTAAAAACCATTATAGTAACAGAAGCATAAAAATCAAAAGATGAATGACATACATTAACAGTAACCAGAGTCTAAGGAATCTAAGATAAACAACAAGAATAGTGTGGGTTCAACATAAACTACAAATCATCTAAGATCAACCCTAATCCAACCCCACCTCACCCCCGGCATGCAGTAAGGAAAGCTCCACTACCCCTATCCTACAACTCTAATGCTAGTCCTCCAGGCCTTCCTATCAAGGGCCATGTCCTCGAAAATCTGCAGACGAACCATGTCTTGCCTGATCACCTCTCCCCAATACTTCTTAGATCTCCCTCTACCTCTTCTTGTGCCCACCACGACCAACCGCTCACACCTCCTCACCAGAGCATCGATGTTTCTCCTCTACACGTGCCCGAACCATCTGAGCCTCGCTTCCCGCATCTTGTCATCCACAGGGGCGACGCCTACCTTCCTCCGAATTTCTTCATTCCTGATCTTGTCTATCCTAGTGTGCCCGCACATCCACCTCAGCATCTGCATCTCTGCTACTTTCAACCTCTGGATATGGGAGTTCTTAACCAGCCAACACTCTGTCCCATACAACATTGTTGGTCTAACCACAACTCTATAAAACTTACCTTTGAGTATCGGTGGAACTTTCTTGTCACACAAGACTCCAGATGCAAGCCTCTATTTCATCCAGCCCGCCCTTATGCGGTGAGTGACATCCTCGTCGATCTCTCTATCCCCCTCAATCACCGACCCAAGGTACTTGAAGCTATCTCTCTTGGGGATGACCTATGATCCAAGCCTCACGTCCCCGCCTATATCCCTCGACTCAGTGTTAAACTTGCACTTCAGGTACTCTTTCTTAGACCTGCTCAATTTGAAACCCTTAGACTCAAGAGTCTGTCTCCAAACCTCCAATTTCTTGTTAACACCTGCCCTCGTCTCGTCAATTAAAATAATGTCATCGGTAAATAGCATACACCATGGCACCTTCCCTTGAATAAGATGTGTCAAAGCATCCATCACCAAGGCAAATAAGAATGGGCTAAGCGCAGAGCCTTGGTGTAATCCCATAACAACCGGGAAATGCTCCGAGTCGCCTCCCACAATCCTAACCTTAGTCTTAGCTCCATCATACATATCCTTGATCGCTCTTATGTAGGCTACTGGCACGCCCTTCGCCTCAAGACATCTCCAGAGCACCTCTCTAGGAACCTTGTCATACGCTTTCTCCAAGTCAATAAACACCATATGCAGATCCTTCTTTTTATCCCTGTACTGTTCCACCAACCTTCTAATAAGGTGGATAGCCTCCATAGTGGAGCGGCCCAGCATGAACCCAAACTGATTGTCGGATATAGACGCCGTTTTCCTCACCCTCACCTCCACCACCCTCTCCCAGACTTTCATGGTATGGATAAGTGACTTGATACCCCTATAATTGTTACAACACTGGATATCACCTTTGTTCTTGTACAACGGTACCACTATACTCGACCTCCATTCCTCCGGCATCCTTTTCGTCCTAAAAATTACATTGAACAACCCAATCAGCCATTCCAATCCTGCTCTACCCACATACTTCCAAAACTCAACTGGAATTTCATCTGGCCCGGTCGCTTTACCCCTACTCATCTTACGCAAAGCCCCCACGACATCGCCGACCCTAATGCGCCTGCAATACCTAAAATCTCGGAGACTCTCTGAATGACCCAAGTCCCCTAGCGCTATATTCGGGTCCCCCTCTTCATTTAGAAGACCATAGAAGTACGTCTGCCATCTCTGCTTAATCTGGGGATCTCCCATCAATACTCTACCATACTCATCTTTGATGCACCTCAACTTGTCCAGATCCCGGGCCTTCCTCTCCCTCGCTTTAGCCAGCCGAAACAACTTTATGTCCCCTCCTTTCTCCCCTAATTCCTCGTATATATGGCTAAACGCTGCATTCTTAGCCTCCATGATCGCTAGATTCGCCTCCTTCCTAGCCACTTTATACCTATCTCTATTCGCTCTCCTCTCCTCCTCGCTTGAGCTCCCTGCCAACTTCGTGTACGCTACCTTCTTCGCCTCCACTTTACCTTGGACTATGTCATTCCACCACCAGTCTCCTTGGTGCCTACCAGAAAAACCCTTTGATACACCTAGCACCTCTCTCGCCGCCTTCCTCACATAGTTCGCTATAGTTGACCACATAGTGCTCGCATCTCCTCTACTCCTCCAAACTGCCATAGCAAATAACTGCCCCTCCAATTCCTGGGCTTTCTCCTTGGTTAAATCTCCCCATATAATCCTTGGTCAACCACGAGCATACCTCTTCTTCCTCTTCATCATAATGTCGATGTCCAAGACTAAGAGCCTATGCTGAGTCGCGAGGGTCTCTCCTGGGATAACCTTGCAATCCTTGCACAACTCTCTATCACACCTTCTGAGGAGAAGGTAATCGATCTGAGTCTTCGCCGCCGAACTTTAGAAAGTAACCAGATGCTCCTCCCTCTTCGGAAAAGTTGAGTTCGCAATCACCAGCTCGAAAGCCTTAGCGAAGTCTAACAGCGAAGTACCTCCTCCGTTCCTATCCCCAATGACAAAGCCACCATGCACCTCGCCATACCTACCAGCAGCCGCCCCGATATGGCCATTAAAATCCCCTCCAATAAGTAACCTTTCAGTAGGAGGAATACTATGCGCAATCTCATTCAGGCCCTCCCAAAAGCGCCTCTTAACCTCCTGATCCAAGCCCGCTTGCAGCGCATAAGCGCTAACTACATTGAGGGTGCACACACCAATGACCAACTTAATAAACATTAGCCTATCATTCACTCGCCTAACCTCAACCATAGACTCTCTAAGATCCCTATCCACCAAGATACTCACTCCATTCTTACCCCTCATTACTCCAGAGTACCACAACTTATACTCGTCTGCTTTCTCGCCTTTGACCCTGCCCACCTAGTCTCCTGGACACAAACTATATTAACCTTTCTCTTCTGGATAATATTTGCCAACTCAATAGATTTACCCGTCAGTGTGCCTATGTTCCACGACCCGATCCTCAATCTACAGCCTCCCTTTTTCCCCTTACCCTCCTTTCCTCTCGTCCCAACCCCTGACCCCCTNGCACTAACCCGGGCCCAAACTAGAAAATAACCAGTTGCAACAACAAGTATACTAAAAATACTAAAAATACACTTAAAATGGTGCTAACTAGATAGCCACAAATTATCTAAAATAGAGAAAGAGACAAGAAAACGGGAGGTACAAACTCCCGATGGAAAGAACCTGGAAATATGACTTGATGCACCCGGAGATGCTCCGCTCTACTCGCCCGTATGCCTCGCGCTTGCCTTGGAAGCTGCAGCAATTCCTGCAAATATAGCCTGGGTGCTTTGGAACCCGACGTCCAGCCCTTTGTGATTGTCTGCTCCGATATGCTTGTATGTGCACCTCCTACTCGTCACCAAACAGCCACCAAAAGTGCTACCTGCAACACACACAGCAAACCCCGAGGCCAAGAAAAGGGGGAGGACTGTCACCGGAACGGTCGCCGAAAAACAGTGCCTGCCCGAGAACTAGAGATATACTGAGGCAAGGTTTGAAGAAAGGGGAAACACAGGGGAGGGTGGTGTGGCTGGGCCGGAAAAGCAGAAGATAGCTTGCGCCGGTGGGTCGCCGGTCGCCGGCCTAGCTGCTGCTAAGGTTAAAAGAAAGGGAAAGGAAGAGAGAGACCCGGGAGAGAGAAAGGAGAAAGAAAGGAGAGAGAAAGGAGAGGAGAGGAGAGAGAAATAGAGGGTCGGACTTACCTGGTTCACCTGGACGAATCGTCGGCGCTGAGATTTGCCGATGGAAATTTGTTGGTGGAAATGGCAGTGTTACCGTTAGAGAGACAGGCGTGCGGGATAACAAATAAAAAGAAGTCAAAAAAAAGGTCCATATTGAGAGTAACAGTAGCAAGAAAGGTAAGTAAAACCCGTGTATGGATGCGTATAAGGAAAGAATAAGAAAGGATCTCTAAGTCGGCTAGGCTTAGTGTGAGATTAGAGATGAGAGAATGGAGAGGTTTCAGAGGAGGTTGTTTAGGAGGGAATGGGTTAGGGTTTTAGGGTAAAGGGGTATAAGAAAGGTAGGGATTATTATGGGTCATTTATCATCTGAGATCAAAGGCTGTGATTAAAGGGAAGTAGGGCGGGTCGAGTAAACGGATCCCGATCGGGTTGAAATAAAAGAGGTCATTTGGTTTGTGCCAGGGCAGCTTGGGGTTGGGCTCACTTGTTTGGACCTTAATTGGTCCGAAAATAAAGCCTAATTTAAGCCAGATTTTAAAGTAAGAAATTAAGGGAAAATAATTTAAATAAAATAATTAAAAATATACAAAAAAATACTACTTATGCAGCTTAATACTTTAAAATAATAATTTATGATTATAAAACGTATAAAATTATTTTAACTTTAAATAAAATGACAAATACAATTTATTGTAAAATATTGGCTACTATTGTAAAATTATGTATTTGGCATAAAGGTGTAAATGTAATTATATAAAGTGAAGTAAAATATTATAAAATACGTAGATGGATGCAATAATAGAGTTGGATGATTAAATCATCATAAAATAATTTATGGGAATAATTAATAAATAATCATGTAATTTAAATGCAAGGAAATCAAATTTAAAGCTCTAAAATTATGAAAAATTATAGAAAATGCTTGTATAAATTTTATAAATTAAATAATGATACAAAAATGATATTTTGAAAGTATATATACTATTTGAAAAAATATGAGGGCAAAATTGGGTATCAACTGCAGGATTATAACAAAGCATAAAAGTAACTCGGAAATATGCATGATAAGTCAAAAACTAACACTAACACTAATCATCCCAAGACATGGAGTCACAAGTACATGAGCTACTAGAGCTTACTAAATATATTGTTTTGAAAGAAGCACCACATTATCCGGAAAGTAAAAATAGTACAATCGAAATAGGATGACTCAAAGGTATGTGAACGGAATGCAACTCTACCTCGAATCACCTGACTGGTATCCACTAAGCACCTCTCAAGACTTCGCTGGTAACAATGTCTGGATCTGCACAAGTAATAAATTGGTATTTTACCAGTGTAAAGGCATCTATTTCGATCATATCACTAGTTTTAGATATGATTGCTCTATGTGCTTCTCCTTTTCCTTGCCAATTCTAACCATTTGCACTAAAGTGGTTCAGCAATGCTTGGATTTCACCGTATGGTTTTTCCATGCTCTTACCTCCATAAGCGGAGTCCATGTACATCTTGGAGGCTTCATATAAAATCATCCACAAAATTGTAACCCAAAACTTCATCTATCTAACCATCGTGTGGGTAGTCTCTAAGTAGTTTTTTAAATCATTCTCCAAGCTTGGCGAAGAGTTTCACCTTTCTTTTGTTGTAATCCACAAATCTGGCTCCTTATCGATTTTGTCTTTCGAGAGGGAAAGAATTTTATCAAGAATTTCCATGCTAGATCATCACAGGTTCTTATTGAATTTGGAGGCTTCTTTTGTAACCACTCATTTGCTTCCCCCAATAGTGAAAAGGGAAATAATGTTAGCCTGACATAATAAGAAGAGAAATTTGGAAAGATTTAGGTATCTATGATCTCCAAAAAAAAAACTAGGTATGCCTCTGTGGATCCTTATGTGGCAACCCCGCATATTGACCTTAGGATGTTATCATCTGCACCATGTATTATATTAGCTCAAAGTGGTCGGTGATGGATAGTTTGATGGTGGCTTGTTTCATATTTGCAAGGCTAGGCCTTGCAACTGCGATCACGGGTAGTTCATGATTGTTCGACATCCTTATAGGTTATGAAAGTTCAACAATTTCTTGTTGATTTTTTATTTTCTTTACCTGTGTTGCCACCTTTGCTGCTTCCTAAGTGTCTTTGGCTTCTTTTGTTGCTTTTTTGTTTTCATGGAAGAGTCTCTCAGGTTCTTTCTCAAAGGGTTCGAGTTTATCTTTACCCTTTTCCTTCTTCCCTGACATTCATTTCACAAGTACTTGAGATAGATCAGGTAAATCTAACAAGTCTAGAACTCGAACACAAAAATTATAAAAATTAACTCAATTAAACAATCAATTGCTAAGACTCGAGAAACGGCGCCAAAAACTTGTTGGTTCCCCAAGTACATGTAAGTATACATAGCCGTCAAGTAATAAAGTGACTCGAAGTCACATGTTGAACCCATAGAGACTTGGAATAATTGTTAATTAAGCTAGCTAAAGTCAATTACTTTTCAAAGTAATCAAAAGTAATGGTTTTTCTATTAATCTACTATTGCAAAAATTAACCAAGTGATCAACAAATGGGTTTTACTCAGAAGAGATAAAGATTCTAGAGTTGTGGTCTATTTATTAATCCTATTGAGTTCGTAACTAAACCTTTGTTAATCCAAGTTATTTATGTTTGCTAGTTGACCAGATCATTTATATAAATAGTATATTTTAACAATACTATATGTCAAATCATAATATATCAATGTTATATTCCTATGGTAGTGAGTCTATCATGAACGAATAAAAATGGCATTCAACCAAGCAAGATTGTTAGGTATATTCCTATCATAACCGCAAAATACTACCCGAGTTACGAGTTCAGAAACAAGCTCTATTAAATTTTACTCTAATCTAAACATGTCTTTTCCAAGCATAGCATAGATAGTAGAGTGAATCGGTAGCTACAACAATTTAAAAGTTAAAACTAGAATTAAAAAAACAACCATGAGATGATAATTATAACTAACAAAGGTGTACTTTATAAACATGAGTATTCATGTCAACCATAATCCTAAAAAAATAGAGTGCTTGGCTACTCATGTTCGTGGTAAGTTTAATCCAAGTATTTTGCATAAACAAATTACAAAGAAAGGATGAAGGAATGACTTTCTCCTCCAAAGTTGTTCCACATGGTGTTTGTGCCTCCAAATATTAGCCAACCCTTCAGTACTCACATTTAGGAAATGTTTACAGGCTAGGGTCGAAGTCTCCAAGTACAACATCGAGTAGGAAACATTTAATTTGTGGACTGGGGTTACAAGGTGCCTGACCTCGCTAGGCCATGTCTGGGGCAAGCCTGGAGCCTCACGAGGTCAGGCCTATGATCACAGCGGACTCAACCTAAGGAAGAGTGGACGCTAATACTTTTACCCAATAGAAGTATCGGGGTCAATTTTCCACAGGGAGCTTCAATTTGGAGTTGAGTGTTTGTATGGTCTAAATCTATGTTTTAGCTCCTAATTGATCTTCTAACATTTTTTTGTTTCTTTTGATTATCAACTACAATTTATCAACTACAAGTTTAAAGCTAAGGTAGGCTAAGATATTGATTCTAAGTTTGTATGCAATATAGAGAAAGGCACTAGGGTCGTGGCATGTACCTAGGTGGTCAACTAACGGGTAGAGATTCCTAATGCAAGAATGATGAATATGGGACTTATGCTATAACCGTTGCACTTTTGCACCCACTCTCACACCTCTCGGTAGAGAGAGTGATTTTGCCCAATTGACTCTCTCGAGACCAATTCGGTAGGCCAATTTGCTAAAGCAACTTATGGTTCAAGTTGGGTAATTACTCTCTCGAGGTTTAACCCGTTAATTGGGACTACCATTCTCATGGGTCCATCCCAATTCCTTGTTGGAATTAATCTTGGGGTAATAGACTCTCTTTCTCAAGAAGAGTCAAGACTCACTATGCTATACTTAGTGTTTGCAACCACCAAATCTTAATGAAAACATAAGATTAATCCCAATAACAAATACCCAACGTCATTCATGCACTAAACAATCACATCCATTAATTACCCACACTAGGGTTGAGCCACAACCCTAGCTAATGGGTTTAGCTAGCCATAATAGAAACAGAAATTGAAGAAATAGTAGATGAAATTGACATAATAATTAACTACAATGTTAATCTACTCAAATCCACGTTAATACTAGAAGAAATTGCCCAAAAAAGGCTAAAACTATGAAGCCTCGAGTTCAACTGCTATCTGATAAAAACCAAAAAACAAACCCCTCTAAAAGGTAAAATGTCCTATTTATACTACACAGGAAAAATCAGACAAAAATACCCCTGAGGGTCTGGCGCGGACCGCGCACAAATGACGCGCGGCCGCGTAGGGGTTTGGGTCTTCATATCTTGCTTCTGACACTGGGGACGCGGACCGCACAAATGTGACGCGCAGCCGCGTAGGGTGTTTTGGTCCAAATCCACCCTCTCTAAACTTCATCCATGCGGACCGCACTGATTAGGTGTCCGGCCGCGTGGGCTTTTGCCTTGAATTACTAAGTCTCTAACACTCTTGGCCGCGGACCGCGTGGAAAAGGGGCGCAGACCGCGCATCTTGACTTGGAAATTGCATGGTCTCTGAACTATCCTGCGCGGCCGCATGGCAAAGCAGTGTGGACCGCGCAGGTTGACCTTGAAATAACCCAGCCTCTGAACTCTCCTGTGCGGCCGCGTGACACATCAGTGCGGACCGCACAGGTCATTTTGTTCCCCACTTCAGTTGTCTTTTGACACTTGGCAGATTTTACTCCTTTTTTAGCCGATCTTTGGTATTTGTCATCTTGTCGCTCAAACCTGCAATCAAGCACAACTTGTAAGCATTTTGGGACTAATTTATGGCAGTTAATGCACAAAGCTTTGGTAAGAATGGGTATAAAACATGTAAAAATCACAGTTATCAACTCCCCCAAACTTAAACCTTTGCTTGTCCTCAAGCAAATAAAATGAGACCTACCCCTCAATGGAAAACATCCAAGTAATTCCTGTTTATCCTAAAGTAACCTCAACAAGCATCAATTGGGACTAACAATTGCCCTCGATGCGAATGCATCATTAACACATTTAAACTTTGAAAACTTGTAGATCAAGTGTGACACAAGAGAATCAAGAGTTGACACGTTTCGTCAAGGAACCTTTCTCAATTTCTTTGGTCATTGTGGAACCCAAACTTACACATCCTCGACTTTCCCTAAGTAAACCTCACCTTTTTAGAGTATTTGCACACAAATCAAGATGAATGGACTTCTCTCTCATCTCTCACAAAGAAAAGGCCCTAAGTCCGGCTCTAAGTACC